AAGTTAGGCTTGTGAACTCCATACCAAGCCAATTCAACTCCAAAGCAGTAAAATAAGCTAACTCCACTACAAGTAAGTTCAATTCAAACATACCACCCATTTATTGTAATTCATTTATTGTGTTTAGGTTTTGGAAACCCAATTCAACCAAAAATTAAGCCATCCATCATCAAACTAATTCAAGCTAACCCCATAGCAAATGAAACTAACATCAAAGAAAGCCAACCCAAAACATCTCAACCCAACCCTAAGGCAATCAAAACTAATTCTAAAGCAACCCTATCCTACGACAAAAGAATGTAACTACAAAGCAATTCAACCCCAAATCTAGCTAACACAATCATAAAGGTCAATAAATCTGACCCAAAAGCAAATCAATCAAACTCCACAGCAAGTATTTCAAATTCCAAACCAAGCATCTTCAATTTTAAACCAATGCAGCTGTAAACCTGTCCAACTCCACAACAAACAAACACAACCCATTATCATTCAACTCTAACGCAAACCCAACCCAACCTCAATTCCATATATGATTTACCAACCTAGTTGTGTCAAGCACTAAAGACACACAACTGCATATGCCTTGGCCTAAGAATCTGTTTCACCAATGAGCTCATTAATGCTGTGTAAGAAAATTCTTTATATTTGGACCAGCAACTTTAAACAATTCTACATTAAAGATACTTTTTATAATCCCGTTTTTGGATAAACCTGCTTAGCTTATTGTCAGTAAGAAAACATGGAACGTAGGCATAAAATATGGTTTATGAAACTTTATTCTTGGTAGTATGTCCTAAATCGAATCACTTCCGTTGGTATTCTTGGTATCATTTTCATTCAAAAATTAATTTTTTATTTACATTAACAGAATTTTAATAGAGCATATACAGAATGTCTAGATTACTAATACGTTCATCGGGGAATTCCACAATTCCTTATGCGGTTGTTAATATTTATAATGCTTTTATTAATCGCATACTAAACTTAACTTGCTGTATTTAGAATACCATATATCTTATTTGAATCTTTTGCAATGAAACTTATTTTATTAAATATATTATCTGGACTATATTAATAGTTAATTATAAAGATAAGAAAGTTTCGTTTTTTAAATAGCGGTTATTATCGTTTGGTATAAATAATAAAACCGCAAGTAGCGACCTGCACGTAGTCACCAGAGCAAAAGCGAGGCGAAGCTAATTTAAACGCTTTCCTTGTCGCTGTATTGGATTTCATGCCCGTATACAGCCACTAACGTAATGGAACTAAGTAGGGCATGATATTGTTCATTGCCTACGGTATTAATTGAACATTGTTCATGCTCAAATGGAGGAGAGTTACGTTGTTGAAAACATTACTAAGGAAAAAGTAGTAATAAAATAATAGACGTTTATTACATTTATACACACTATGTATAGAAAGTGATTGCTTCATAAATTTTATTATTTTTATTATAATTTGCTTGGTAAACGCAAATAATTCATCTAAAAATAACAATTTATATATTTATATGTATAAGTAAGATTAATTTGTAGGTATAAAAAGGTTCGTAAAGTAAAGAATGTAGTGAATCATCAATCGAGTTGACAATCACATTTTTAACCATACAATCGAACAATTTAGAAATTCAATTTCACACTTATTGCAATTTATTTACACATCACAAACAATGATTCATTACCTTCTGAAAATAGCACTTTACTTCTTACTTTGTTACACTACGATTTTTTTTTAATAAAAATAACCCCTCAATAACCTATTATTATGAGAAAATTGTTCCAATTACGATCCTTAATGACCTTTTAAGTGTATACAGTAACCCGTTGTCACACTATACGTCAATGTTAAAAGATAAAGGAGTGAATCGTTGTAGGGTTTATGTAGTTTTCCGATCGGTAAGTTAGTCGCGATAAAATCTGGAGCATAGCGGCGACCACGACCTCGTCCGTTGAGGTGTCGATGTATTAAATCAAGATCAATTAAAAAGTTACCTTGCAGAGAGGAGTCGTTCCGCACAGCAAGTAATTTGAATTAATTAATATGCGATAGCGTTGATCGCGCGGCCCGTCCGCCCCATGCATATTCAAATGCACGACTGTTCGTCGTCATTTGCATAAAACAAGGCCTATCCCACTAAGGGACTCGCGTGTTCGTCACTTAGAAATCTAACGTTACGACCAACATACTAATTCGTACTTTAAATAAAAAGGAAAATCCGCTTTAACTTCCTTGCATATTCCTAATTATAAGGATGTAACGAAATCATTAATGATTACTATACAGTAAAAGTTTGATATAACGGATTTCGTTAGAAAGGACTTCAGATATGTCCTCATAGATAGTATACAATTCGGGGTATTCCCCGAGTTGTCTATACGATGTATAAATCAAAGACGGTAGTTAGAACTAGAACTAACACTAGTATTAGAAGTAACACTAGACTTAGAACTAGAAACTTTCGAGTTTAGCTGTATGTCTCTTAAGACGGCTAAACTCGAATGATTCTAGTTGTAGGTCTAGTGTTAGTTCTAATGCTAGTGTTCGTTCTAGTTCTAGTTGTTATTCAACGCTGGATTGTTCTATATTTGTTTTTAAACTAAAACTAGAACTAACACTAAACCTAGAACTAGAAACATTCGGGTTTAGCCGTCTTAAGAGACGTGCGGCTAAACCCGAATATTTCGAGTTCTAGGTCTAGTGTTAGTTGTAATACTAATGTTCGTTCTAGTTCTAGTTATTATTCAACGCTGAATTGTTCTATATTTGTTATTGAACTAAAACTAGAACTAACACTAAACATTCGGGTTTAGCCGTCTTAAGAGACGTACGGCTAAACCCGAATGTTTCTAGTTCTAGGTTTAGTATTAGTTCTAATGTTAGTATTAGTTCTAGGTTTAGTTGTTATTCAGCGTTTAATTGTTCTATATTTTTTATTGAACTAAAACTAGAACTAACACTAGACCAAGAACTGGAAACATTCGCGTTTAGCCGTGCGTCTTCAAGCGCGAGGTTGGGTTGGGTTTGTGTTAAAATTGAATGATAATGGGTTGTGTTTGTTTGTTGTGGAGTTGGACAGGTTTACAGCTGCATTGGTTTGAAATTAAAGATGCGTGCTGTAGAGTTTGATTGATTTGCTTTTGGGTGAGATTACTTTATGATTGTGTTAGATAGATTTGAGGTTGTATTCTTTTGTAGTTATATTCTTTTATGGTAGGATAGGGTTGCTTTAGGATTAGTTTGTATTGCCTTAGAGTTGGGTTGAGATGTTTTGGGTTGGCTTTCCTTGGTGTTAAATTCATTTGCTATGGGGTTAGCTTGAATTAATTTGATGATGGATCGCTTGAATCTTGGTTGGATTGGGTTTCCAAAGCAACGTTGAATTACAATAAGTGGGTGGGATAGGTATGCTTGAATTGAACTTACTTAGTAGTTAGCTTATTTTACAGTTGTATTGCTTTGGAGTTGAATTGGCTTGATATGGAATTAAGTTATCCTGTAGTTCACTAGCCTAACTTGTAACCCAAATACAAGCTATACAAGTGGAGCTATCAAATGTATGAAATGTCTGGTGTAAATGGTTTTCGATTTTGCACTAGCAAAAGCAATAAATAACATTAATCGACAAACCCGTCGCTTATCATATACTCTGTTATTTAACTATTTCTCCAGTTTTCATCTAATATCTCATTTAGATAAAATGGGACAAACATTCGGGTTTAGCCGTCTTAAGAGACGTGCGGCTAAACCCGAATGTTTCTAGTTCTGGGTCTAGTGTTAGTTGTAATACTAGTGTTCGTTCTACTTCTAGTTATTATTCAACGCTGGATTGTTCTATATTTGTTATTGATCTAAAACTAGAACTAACACTAAACCTAGAACTAGAAACATTCGGGTTTAGCCGTCTTAAGAGACGTGCGGCTAAACCCGAATGTTTCTAGTTGTAGGTCTAGTGTTAGTTTTAATACGAGTGTTCGTTCTAGTTCCTGTTGTTATTCAACGCTGGCTTGTTCTATATTTGTTATTAAACTAAAACTAGAACTAACACTAAACCTAGAACTAGAAACATTCCTGTTTAGCCGTCTTAAGAGACGTGCAGCTAAACCCGAATGTTTCTAATTCTAGGTCTAGTGTTAGTTCTAATGTTAGTGTTAGTTCTAGTTTTAGTTGTTATTCAGAGCTGAATTGTTCTATATTTTTTAATGAACTAAAACTATTCGTGTTTAGTCGTACGTCTCTTAAGTCGGCCAAACCCGAATGCTAATTTTTAATAAGATATTGGCAGAAAACATTGGAATGAAACTCTTTGAAGTTGTTCCAAATCTTTCATAAAATAAAAATACAGTTACACGTTATTGAACTTGTATACAAACACAACATAAAACTGTAGTGTCAATTATGCGGTTAGTTCGATATAGCTGAAAAATATATAAAATTCTTTTAAAAAAAAGTATTATTGTACAATATAAAACGTTTCGATTGAGAGAAACTATAACCTTCGGGCGTTGCTGTATAGCTCTAATGTTTTGGCTACCACCGTCGGAGGCGAAGGTAATCTCTAGACGGTGTTTGACCATTTAAAATAAATTACCGTCTCGCCGGTTTTACTGCAATAAGCAAAGAGAGTAACGACCAGGCAAGGTACCGGTTATTTATCGTTCCGCTGTTACTGTTGCGGCCGCCGCCGGACCTCGCCAGATGGGGCAAACGCACGAAGGGAACCTCTATACTCCTACAATCGCGGCCCACGACATCCACGGGGCCATCGTAATGCCAACCCCATTACTTATCTCGGCAACTGGGCCGCAACTCCATCGATAATGAACACCGAGGGCAGCGAGCTTGTAAAAATTTGTCAATTAGACTTTGTACGCAATTTGTAATAAGTATGCAATTAGTTATTGAAAAACGTTTCATTTCGAGATAATCGCGTAGAATTAGTTTGAAATGGCACAGTAATGTACGTAATTCGGTTATAAGCGTGTTTTTCTGTTTTGTTGCAGCGTCGGCAGCAGCCCTGGAGGAGGAGGAGGTCTGCAATTACTTGGCAGGGACCTTCATCCTGCCTATCGATTACCTCCACACATGGAGTACCTTTATTCACTACAACACTCCACTGCAAACTCAATTCATGGTAAGTAATTAAGTATAATTACATATTATTAAATGAACAACAATTTAACACCAATTTGGAAAAAAGAAGTTATCATTAAGTTTTCCTTATAAGTAAGTACTATATTGAGATTGTCAACAAGATCCTTTGAAATACCAATTTATTAACAGACAATTGTCGTGTCTCTCCTCGAACTTGTACAGGTTTGGTTTTATCGAACGTTGTATCACACATTAACGACGACGTCTATACATTTCCTACCTACAAACGATAAATCGCCGAAAGTGTCGTAGGTATACCGATAAAGGCCAAAGGAATCGGACCTCGATAAGTCCCTGTGCGAGAAACTAATCCGATCGTAAAATGTTTAACAGTGGATTAGAGTAGATATTAATAAGTGGACGATAAATTGAGGCGTTTTTAACGGGGCACGAAGCGCCCGGTCCCGATAAAGATTTCATTTTATGGCCCGCTCAGTTTGGACCGGTGGTACTACACACCGAGTTGGTACCGGTCTCTCCGGTATCTCTATGGTACCAAGCTGTGCGATGATCGTAGCCACGGACGGTCACGTCATTTTATTAGATATTAAAATATCGGACAGGTAGCCTATAAAAAATGAACCAACGACATTAACGGCCACCGAGTGAACCGATAAAGGAGATTTTAATACTTCGAAGAGAGCCGTTTCTTGTTCTTGCTCTTCCGCCATGAAAGGCCGACGATGATTGGTCTGTTCTGACTTACGCAAACCACGGGGCGTATTCTAATTAATGGTAAATTAGGCGCGGTTCTAATTTAACTTATTAATCCGCGACCGCTCGTCCGCACTCGACAAACGACGTTCATTATCACAAATTGGAGCATAAATTAATTGACGATTGCCCCATTCGTGTACGCGTCCATCGGCGTCTCGTTACCAGATACGGCGGCAGTTATGTAGTTAGTTAACCGGCACCGATTTTTAAGCAATCCGTAGGTGAAAACACGCGACTTCTTGTCGAAGATTGTCGTTCAAGATTACTCGACGTCTTTTACACCTACCTCTTTCTGATAAATGTCTACACTTGATTTGCAACCAACTCATAATCCGATACGAGTTAACCCATTAATAAAAAAAACTTTATTATAAGCACAAAAGTATTTCAAAATTAACTTAAGTCGTTTTTATTATCCCAATTCTCAACGCAATGTCCTCAATTTTGATATTTCTCAGTCACTATTGTAGCAAAAATTGTTAATTTGATTAATAAAAAGAATCTTTATACATATTTTGAGAATAAGGTTTTGCTTAATCCTTACTAATTTGGATTTAAATTGTATTGTGTTGCTTCAATAGTCAAGAGTAGGGAAATAGGTTTACTTTGTTTACTCGTTGCTTTGCTGCTTTATGTTTATAAAATTAATAAATAATAAATTTATTAATATTATGATATGTATTCAGTATTTCTGCTTAGTGATTCAATTTATTTTGTTGATGAGACCATACACATCAACATGTGTTAGGTAACTACTAAAGTAGGTTAACTACTTTATGCCAGCAAGCTTATATTTTACATTAAATATTCGGGAGTTCTACGATGAAATTCGAAGACTTTTGGCTAGTATCGTTACTTCTTCTTTTATTATTGGAACGCTGGATTTGTTGATGGTTTTGTTCTGAGTATGAAACTCGACATTTTGAGGTGTAACCACCATACTGATCTATCATCATGATTTATGGGCTGTGGCTGAACTGATATAATGTTTTGCTCTGAGGAAAATTGTGGTTACTTTCTGCATCTCTATAAAAATCGATGATAATTATCGACATTAAAAATATAGCTTCGAAAGTTTTCACAGTACATGAAGTTCACAGTTCATGAATGTCTTAAAATTATCTCTTTCGGAATTCTGTACGCCATTATAAATGTTTTGAAGTGCACTAGTGGTTAAAGTATACTTCCTAATTGTACTTCGCACTGAATATGTAGTAGTTGGTAGAACGACTTTAATCTTTGTAGTTTGCTTCACAATTGTGTGTGCGAACTGTGTTCACAAATGTGTGCTAAGTGAAATAACCAATTCCTCTTTTGGCAATGGAAGTAATTTATAAAATTAGGTGGTAACAATAAAATATTATCAAAAGATGAAAATTAAAATTTTCAAACCGCAAAAGCTATAGCAAGAGCATCTTTTTCTTACCAACGATGTATCTCAGCAAAACCATAATGATTTGCATCAGTTGAATCAATAATGTTCAATCTCAGATTCTAATAAACTTAATAGATTTGATTGTATCACCTTTTTGTATCAAATTTCCTCCTTCCTTTGGTCTTCCTCCTCCAGTTCCAAGACCCAAGGATATCCGTCCTCTCATCTTAGATTTGGCTTTTAGCTAGGTTCCACTTCTTGCATTCTACTATTAAGCTATTGCTTCGGTACCTACTCTTTGGTAATCTCTGGTTCGTCTTGTACTCTGAGAGCATTGGAGTCCACACATCATCCCACACGAATTTGAACATAGCTTGAAAGACATGAAAAATAATAAATCACGAAGTGATGATGAAACTAGCACTGGAAACATCAAATTGGGAGGAGCATCACTCCTAAATATGCTGTGCAAACTAGACATTGCGTGTCTGAAGAATACTTTAACATCCATGGAACAAGGCAGCCATAATAATTCTTTATAAGAAGGCGATATAACACAAATACAAAATTATAGACCAATTATCAGTAATCTGATAGCGAAATTTGATCTCTTTCAATCAGTCGAGCAAGCGAGGTTCTGTAAAGGTTATCTAGTTCTCGTCTTGATGCACTATGTGAAAGCGTTCGACCATCAATGCATGAAGCTTAAAGTTCTCACGGACAGAATCAACTACCCTTATGTCGGCATTATCGAGCATCTATACAAGAACGCGAATACTGTCATCAAACTCCATAAGGACACCACCAACTTAAAAATTGAGCGAAACGTGCAACAGGTTTATGTCATACACTACCAAACTCCCAAACTATTCATCAACCTATTTGAATACATGTTCAAACGAACTAATGTTGAGAACCTCGGTATCAATATGAATAGCGAGAAACTTGGTCACCACCGGGTTGCCGAAGATGTGGTATTAATTGCGGATAACTTTAACGAAACAATGACAATATTACGCGAGCTGGAACTAGCTTTCAAGGAGATTAGGAGGCTGATCATGGATATCAAAAGGGTAAGTACGTGATGGATCTGGTTATTGGTGAAGGTTCAACAATTCCAACATTGAGCAAGTTTATTCGCACAAATACTTAGGCCATGAAATGCGTCTGGGGAGAGACAATTAAAGCTGCGAAATAGACAGAACAATATGGTTAAGATGGGCAGCCTGTGGAAGACTTAGCTACATCTTGAGATCAGATATTCTCATGTGCCTCACGAGAAAAGTCTAAAATCAGTACGTTCTACTAGTACTAATATACAAAGACGAAACAGTAACTGTAATAAAATAAGAGTACTGCGGAGAAGCATGGACAGAATAATGCCTAGACGTATTCTTCAGAGACAAAGTACCAAACATAGAAGTAAGGAAAGAAGTGGAGTATGGGAGTCATCACAAAAATTAACAAGTCTCAAATGAAACTGGGCAAGCCACCTAGTCAGAACGAGTGATGGAAAATGGACAAAGAAAATAACCGAATGGAGACCGCAAAATCGTGCCTTTCGTGCACAAACTGGGAAGAATCTGAAAATTTTTACGAGATGAGGATGATACCATTATCAATTATTGTTAGAGTTATGCAAAAAGTAAATCTAGATGGAATAAAAAGAAAAAAACTGAAATGTAACTTCATAGCATTAATATTATTGTGCTTATAAAAAATTCTTAACCTTTGTTTTAACTTTGCAAATATCATTAAGCACCGAATGAATTTATCTATTACAGGTTTAGCCTTGGCGTCTTAGCCTCGGCCAAGGTTATGACAGCAATCAATATCCTCGACGTATTCATCAAAAGCTTCTCGTGACAACCTTCCTTTAATCCTTACAATCTCCACAGCTAAATCTTCCTTCGGGTTTTCAGAAATCTCATAAAAATAAAAATTATTTCCAGGAATGTCTTGTACGAATTTATTCACTTTCTTCGAGAGAAATAAATTTAGCCTGGCGAAACTAAAAGTCAGTAACAACAAATCTAACAAAGCAATGGTTTACTGTTATTAGGTTGACCATAAATCAGAACAAAACGTGACGTTTAACTAACGCTGTAATCAAGCGGAAACGTAACGTATATTGTGTATCAAAATTCAATTTAGAAATAAAATAAAAATTGTATTTACAAAAATATTTTAAAAATAGAAGTTTATTTTCTTTTTGACTTGATTTAGATGTCTTTTAACTACGGTTAATGTTAGCCACGTCAGAATTTATTGTTCTAAAGGATGATTTATCGAAGTAGCGCGTGAGAATTATATCAACAACGGCTTGTTCTAATAAAAAAAGGAACTTTATTGAAGCGGAAGGAAGAATTAACAGTTCAATTGGTACGAACGCCCGTAGTAATTGTTTACAGCGGTCGCGTAACACGAGCATGGGGGTTGTACACGTGTGTTCACTGAAATAATAGCGACGGTATCCACCACGTGGCGACAGCGTGTACAGGAGTGGAAAATAGGCATCCGGTTTTTTAATGATTACCTAGACAAAATCCGTTCTAAGGAAATTGCGCCAGATTATAGTCTCGGTATACGAGAAGATCGTAAATTCGTCTCAATAAGCATGAAAATGGTCGCCGTTAATCTCTAAAGGCTTTTATCGCTTAGGAAATATAAATTATTTTATATAGGTCATAATAGTCGCGTGTAATTACGCTGTTTGTTGGGTTAATCTTTGATTTTTTTGTTAACGAAGCATCGCGAAGACATTCGTCATTCGAGTCGAAAAAAATTGGTATGCGTTGGTCCACGAAGTTTAATTTTAAACATGTGCAGCGCATAGCTCTCACATCTGCGCAAAGTAATAACATTTCTAGACGATCTGCTTTGTTGTC